CGAAAGTCAAAAGAACATCTAAGCGTTAAGAAACCATCATGGATGATCCCGGTGAGACTTTTCCCTCTCTCTTTCTGCCTAACTACTCTCCTGTTAAAAGCCTTTTGGAATTACTTCCCTGCTTTGAAAGAGCTGCCTTTGTTTATCTGGGGAAAAGAGCTTTCCATAACAAAGGGAAAAACTTTTTATTGACTATTTTTATTTTTCGGCTACTTGGGGGCCCTGGAAAAATCCTTATCATAAAACTTTATTATTATATCTTCTAAGCTGGAGAATATTGTTTTCCTATGTCTTGGACTTATTTTTGTAAAGGGATAAATCTTTATTGTTTGAAAAAAAAAAACCAACAACTCTATGAGAAGCCGGAAAAGAGACTCCATAGCTCTTTGACTTTGCTAATCTCATTTTTGGTGTCTGGAAGAGACTTTCATAGTTTACTGAGGACATCTTGTGGAGAAATTTAAAACTGCAACTGCTTGTTTGTGTTACTACTGAAATGGAGAAACCATATTCACAACTCAACTGTAAACTCGTACTGGAAAAAATTTATGAAGCTACTGAGGAAATATGTTCCCAAATAAGAGAGAGAACTGCAGAAATAATAAACAGAAATGCTACTGTGAACTTACAAACTGACCTTCAGACTCTATTTGATCATTCTACAGACCAAAAAGCAATAGAAGAGGAATTAATTTACATACAACCTATGGAGACTTTGGATGACCAGAAAATGATTGTAACTAAACTATCTACAATTGCAAAACTAACAGAAATGGACTTGAAATTACAACTGTTGGAGAATTATGACAACTTTGATAATCATCTACTAATTATAAAATTGGACGTGATCGAGTGTTTTATCCAGCAGACAGGAGCCAGGCGTCAAAAACAGAGGATGGGAGGTCTTTTACTGACCCAAATGACATTACAAGCAATAACGGGAGATCTATTTGCTGAAATAGAGGCTTTGTTATGGAAACCTGCTTGGCATAAAAAGAAAGCCAGAATAAGACTAAAAC